AGAACTCGCAGGCCAACTGGAGCACAACGGTTCAGCCATTCCTTGTGCTCGTCACAGTCAACGACGTGTTTCAAAAGAACTCGCAGGCCACCCTTGAGCTCGTCACAGCCAAGAAGTCAATAATTCAATTTGTATAATTGACCAATCATAGCATTGTCGGTTGGATTTGTCGCGTTTGCCATTTTATCTACACATTATATAATTGATGATTTCCCATTAAAGTTTGATTACCCGACGAGTGAAAATGGAAAATAGACAATAGAAATAATATATAGATATTTTTAAATATCTGAAAAATGTATATCCATCATTTTGATTGCGCACGTTGATGATTTCATCGTCTGTATTCGTCATGCAGCTTGTTTACTGCGCTCTTCGTATAAGTCCACTACGGTTGCATTGGCCGTTCGGTGTGCGTGTCGTACACGGTTTACCTCACGAAAGGCATTGCCATCGTTACGAAATGTCAACAGCTGTATGCAGCCGAACTCTCCAAAGACCCAAAAGGATCATCCACATGTAAACCGAGTGCACGAATGTAAAGCATCAACAGCATGACGTGAGATGGCCTTTGTCCCCACATGTATGCATCGCCAATCACCAGGATGACGTGTACACCATGGGGTGGTCTCCAGAATAATGGCCAACTCGACGATTCGGCCATGTTGCAAATTTTGCTCCTCCACCAACATGTCTTCTACAATCCCTTCCACCATGCGCGCCGTGGGCTTCTACGCCCACTTGCCCATCGACGACCCTGCCTCCCTCGTCGACCTAAACGTCCCGGTGCCCAACATCGCTGGCCACGACCTGCTCGTCCACGTCAAGGCCGTGTCCGTCAACCCCGTCGACTACAAGCTTCGCGCCCCCAACGGACAGGGACCACTCAACTCGCCCAAGATCCTCGGATATGACGCAGCCGGCGTTGTCGTCGCCGTCGGCCCGGACGTCACCCGCTTCAGCGTGGGTGACGAAGTCTACTACGCAGGCACGTGGCAGCGCAATGGCACCAACGCCGAGTACCACGCCGTGGACGAACGCATCGTGGGCCGCAAACCCACATCCCTCAGCTTCGCGGACGCCGCGGCCCTGCCACTGACCAGCATCACCGCGTGGGAAGCGTTGTTCCACCGCCTCGGCGTCCCGACTACTACCACAACCGCTCCCAAGACCAACAAACCCGTCTCCATCCTCATCCTCAACGGCGCCGGCGGCGTCGGCTCCATCGCCATCCAGCTCGCCAAACAACTCACGGACCTCACCGTCATCGCGTCCGCGTCGCGTCCAGAGTCCCAGGTGTGGGTCAAGGATCTCGGGGCCGACCACGTCGTGAACCATCGCCATGACATCGTGTCCCAGCTCGCCGCGATCGGCGTTCCCAAAGTCGACTACATCCTTGTCTTCACAGACCTGCCGCCGTACTTCGACGCGATCGTCGAGGTGGTCAAGCCGCAAGGCAAGATCTGCGCCATCGCGAGTTTCACCGACAACCTGCCGTTCCAGAAGCTGTTTGCCAAGAGCGTCACGTTTTCGTGGGAGATGATGTTCACTCGGGTTGTGTTTAACACAGACGACATCGCAGAGCAGTATCACCTGCTCAACCAAGTCAGTGTTTTAGTGGACACGAAGCGCCTTCGGTCGACGACCAACCAGTCGCTGGGGGCGATCAATGCCTCGAACTTGAAGCAAGCGCATGCGACGTTGGAAGCTGGAACGGTCATGGGCAAACTCGTTTTGTCCGGGTTCTAGGCTACAGTTGCCGCTAAATTTGCCATGGCTTGTAATGGGTTAGTTCTCATAATGGTAGCGTTAAGACACTTTTGATCAACTTGTCACGGCGCAATGTTTGACACAACCACGAACGCTTGCATGTGCAACTCGTATCGATAACGAGACCATTGAATTAGCATACAATCGGCTGTTCCGTCGCCACGATCAAGGCATTGAGTGAACCATAACAAGCATGTTGAGCTTTTAGAATCCTGCGAAAACCAACTTGCCCACAACAGACTTCGCCTCGAGAGCTGCATGAGCTTGCTTTAGATTCTGGGCATTGATGGCGCCGACCAATTTGCTAGTCGTCGACCGAAGGCGCTTCGCGTCCACTAAAGCACTGACTTGGTTGAGCAGGTGATGCTGCTCTTCCATATCGTCTGTGTTGAAGACAGCTCGTGTAAACATGAGTTCCCACACAAACGTGACGCTCTTGGCAAACAGCTTCTGGAACGGCAGGTTGTCGGTGAAACTCGCGATGGCGCAGATCTTGCCTTGCGGCTTGACCACCTCGACGATCGCGTCGAAGTACGGCGGCAGGTCTGTGAAGACAAGGATGTAGTCGACTTTGGGAACGCCGATCGCGGCGAGCTGGGACACGATGTCATGGCGATGGTTCACGACGTGGTCGGCCCCGAGATCCTTGACCCACGCCTGGGACTCTGGACGCGACGCGGACGCGATGACGGTGAGGTCCGTGAGTTGTTTGGCGAGCTGGATGGCGATGGAGCCGACGCCGCCGGCGCCGTTGAGGATGAGGATGGAGACGGGTTTGTTGGTCTTGGGAGCGGTCGTGGCAGTAGTCGGGACGCCGAGGCGGTGGAACAACGCTTCCCACGCGGTGATGCTGGTCAGTGGCAGGGCCGCGGCGTCCGCGAAGCTGAGGGATGTGGGTTTGCGGCCCACGATGCGTTCGTCCACGGCGTGGTACTCGGCGTTGGTGCCATTGCGCTGCCACGTGCCTGCGTAATAGACTTCGTCACCCACGCTGAAGCGGGTGACGTCCGGGCCGACGGCGACGACAACGCCGGCTGCGTCATATCCGAGGATCTTGGGCGAGTTGAGTGGTCCCTGTCCGTTGGGGGCGCGAAGCTTGTAGTCGACGGGGTTGACGGACACGGCCTTGACGTGGACGAGCAGGTCGTGGCCAGCAATGTTGGGCACCGGGACGTTTAGGTCGACGAGGGAGGCAGGGTCGTCGATGGGCAAGTGGGCGTAGAAGCCCACGGCGCGCATGGTGGAAGGGATCGAAGCAGCCATAACTTTGAAAAGGAATTTCGTGGAATGAAGGTGGAATGTGACTTTTACGACACTGAAATTGCCAAAAGATCTGGTTTCTGTTCAATCGTAGGATTTGAGGGGGCGTTTCCCCAAACAACGTTGTCTCGAAAGACTATATCGAAGAGCACAGTATCAATCCTTGGTAGCGTGGAGATGCGGCGGTAATGTCATTGCGCGCCAGTAATTGCGCTGATGTCGAGGCGTAAGGATGGACAAACCGTGGCGTGTTTGCTTCTCAACATATTCCGCTGTGCTGAGTTGAAGAGGTTATTCCAACATGCAGCACATATATTGAAGCAAGATTCGTCGCGAAATTGCTCTTACTCAACTTCTCAACGCAACAGTCGATCCAATTTCAGTCACAACAAGGAACCACGTCGGTACGAGCGGGTTCGGACGCCCGTTGTGAGTTGTCTACGTCGACTCATCCAAGTCGTAGTTGTTTCGTCATATCCTTCGATGCCGTAAACTCCTTGGTTCACACACGGGACTGTATCACACGCCCGGAGGAAAGTTATTGGCTCCGGGACAATTCGCTTCCGAAGGAGCACAACTACAGTAATTGTCACTCCACCAGAACGCATTCTTATCCTGCACTATTTTGGAACTTCCCAACGGCAAATATCGTGTCTCAATAATCGAAGTTGTCGATTCTGCTTGAGCTCACGTCGTAGCTGGCAATGCAGTCACAATAGATGCCAGATTTGTCCTGTGCTTCGACCTAACTGCGCCCACTTGGTTTACTAACAAGTTATAGACGTTGTGTACCAATGAATTAAAACGTAAGAAACAGCATTGAAATTGCCTCTGGCAACTTTTGACTCGTGGATTTTGCGTCGCTCTAGTTCAACAAACCACACAATTGAAAAACGACTGTCGGCTGTGGGATTTGAACCCACGCGTACGAATACATCACGACCTGAACGTGACCCCTTAGACCACTCGGGCAAACCGACT